TTCAATGATCGCCTCATAAATGCTCTCACAATTGACCACTTTGTATGCGTTGAACGTTTCATTCAAATTATAAATTTAATTATTATTATTATAAATTCAATATACAGTGCTATACTTTAATAAAATAAACCCTTAAATTGTTAAAACTGAATATAATATTAAATTAAGTTCTGAACAAATACTGAGAATCACTATTTTAAATGAGATTAGAATAGAAAAGGAAATTAATTAATTATAAGAAATATGTTAATAACGGATATACAGGGTGGAGATTAATCGACTATGCTAAAGTAAACTCGAATATCTCGAAATGTATTTGGTCTAGAAATTCAAATAATATATCAAAATACTCATCAACTGCGGGAGTTTTTGTTATCATATGGTCAATATGCTTGACCTCTTATTTGAGAAATAATCTCAAATAAATCAAAATTTTGTCATTTATTCCATAGACATAATGTTAAATTCAAACTTATTTTTAAGCAAAATCCTGAAATTAATATCATGTCATTTTTGCTCCTGTTTAAGATTTTGTAATCAAAATTCTAGTGCTTTGTGTAGTTTTTGTATTATAGACGATTTTTTGCAAAAGTTGTGTATTTTGAGATAATATAAATCCGAAATATTAACAAATCATTAATAAATCAAAAACTACATGCAGCACAATAATTTTGATTACATAATCTTAAACAGGAGCAAAAATGACATGATATCAATTTCAGGATTTTGCTAAAAAATAAGTTTGAATTTAACATTATGTCTATGGAAAAAATGACAAAATTTTGATTTATTTTAAATTATTTCTAAAATAGGAGGTCAAGCATATTGACCATATGATAACAAAAACTCCCGCAGTTGATGTGTATTTTGATATATCATTTGAATTTCTAGACCAAATACATTTCGAGATATTCGAGTTTACTTTAGCATAGTTGATTAATCTCCACCCTGTATTTCTATACAGTATAGAAATCTGATAAGAATATGTATATTGTATATAATTTAATATATAATATGCATAATTTTATTACGATAAAGCCGCAACATAAATTCGTAATAATCTTCTATATTAAAAGCGTTCAGGTTAAAATAGGGGATATTATAAACATGACGTGGTTATTGAAACACAAAGAAGTTTTTTCAAGTATTCATTATATTTTAGTGCACTATATGTGACTATCATATGAATAGTGTATAAATTACAACACAAGGGTTTTATGCTGGAAGTAGTGAGGAGTAAATTCTGGTCACCGTTATTCTATATAATAGTTAATTATTATTCAATATAAACTTATCTTTCTAATCAAAATTAGAGACAATGTATTTGTTTAATATTGTATTCATACACTAATTAAATGGTTCATTGAATAGAACTTTGTATATATTTAGATGTTATTAATGAGAAAATATTGTCAAATCACCCAAATATAAAGTCATAATACACTTAATTTGCATAATAATTAATTGCACTATCCAGATTTTAGTTTATTCAAAAATCTTAGTAATTATAACTTGGGACTCCTAAGTTAGGAGTTAGACAAATGAATTTTATTTTAATTAATACTAGATAATACTGTAAGATGATGATATTTCCTTAAATAACAACGTCTAGACTTACCAAAAACAATATGAGAGCTATAATGATAGTCCCTAAACCGATTTTGGATGCATTAACAGACAGAAAAACTTCTTTCACTGACAGAAAAACAAAACTTTAAATACAAGTAATGTTTGATTTATTGTTTTAAACACAACATTTATATTTTTTATAATGAATCTTATAATTGCTTTTTTCTGTGGCTAATGCATCGAAAAAAGCATCCGTAGAGAGCATTTAGGTTTTATTAAATAATTTCAACTGCACTTATATTTTAAGATTAGTATTAATAGTTAAAAGCAAACAAAATCAATAAATATCTGAGAGTTGAGTATTATTTTATTTGACTTACTTTGAAATTATTAGACATAACGCAGTAAATGATTGGATTAATAAAGCTATGCGCTGTTTGGTTGGCGTGAATAGAAAAAAGCAATTCAATTATAATTATTATGATTATTGACAATATAGTGGACAGACCTGTGGAGAGCCAGTGGCAGACATAATACGTGCCGATATAGACATAATAATAAGTCGGGGATGACATGACTCGCAAACCACTGAACACCCAAATTATTAGATTAAATAATTGTAAGGGAAGCCAACAAATGGCAAACGCTATACACAACCAAAAAAAACAAATTGAATCATTCAGTGATTTATATTTGTAATAAGAAATAGTTCTCAACACAAGGATTAGTATAACCTTTATTATATTTTTATACGGATATTACTTTAATATTACGTGCGCAAAGTTACGGAATATATTTGCTATAAAATGTCAAAAAACGAATATGTCTCGCGAATAAAATATTCTGATTTTAAACATTAATATTCTAGAATCTAGATACTTTATAAATGAAATTTATAAAATTTATAAATGGTATTTAAAATGAGGCTTAAATTACAGAAATATTCATATGAATGGTTGAATAAAATCATAACATTATTATAGAAGTGGTGTATTATGTGAAGTATCTCTTCATAAAACAATATGCGATAAAAGCTTTTTCATTTAGGCATCAAAATTGTATAACACTTTGCCATTAATTATAAAATCTGTAATTAATTTTAATCTATTTGTCAAAGAAATCAACCATTTTAATAAATCTTAATGTATTTGTTTAAGTCATGTACTTATATTATCATAATAAAAACTATTATTACATTGTATATTAACAAATAATTAAATTAAAAGTTCTCACCCGTAACCAAAGTGATCAACATCTTGATAACCTATATTATAGAGTTAAACATAATAATAAAATGTTAGCATCATAATGTATGCTATAATTAATTAGTTTAATTTAACCTAACACAGATAGTATTGCAATAATTCTATTAATGTTTAGGTGCTAGTATTTCACCTTATTGATTGAAATATAAAACTTTTTTTTATCATAACAACAGGTAATTCTAATCTCTGTTTAATGTTAACATAAAAATATATGAATCGGGGTTTTAATGTGCAATCATTCTTAATAGTATTTCTAAATATATGTTTATTTGCTGTTTATTTGCAAAATTTATAAGAAAATGGAGATTCAACGAGAAATATATCTTCTTTTTATACTTAACTCCTCTGAAATTGCTTAATAATGTATACTTTATTCCTATCACTGGTTTGAAGTGCCATACAGTTTGTCAATATATTTTAAAATGAACTAGTTTTTACCAAACATAAAGCAAATAAAGCTATACCAATAGGAATAAGCTTCTTTTTG